AATAAATACTTATTAAAAAATATTAAAATATTTTTTATTTTTTTTAAAATTTTTAAAAATAAAATAAATAAACACTAACTCCATTTTAAAAAACTAAGTTTTTTCTAGTTAAATTTCAATACGTGATTGGTATCAGCTTGCTTTTATGCTTCTGGTCTTGGTCGTCTTTCTGAGAAGGAGGAATATATCTTTTGCACAGGCCGCACTTTTAATGTGTGTATTATGTAATTGGAGTATATAACGATAAATATTTTTAAACAAATGCTTTTTTTTTTTAACTAGAGAAAATTTTAAAAGAAGGAAAAAATATTATAATTATTTTAATAAAAATTTAAATTTTAACATAAATTAAAATATTTGGTACATATTACTAACATACAAGGAGCTGCTAATGATTTAATTGAATGCTTTTACTATAGTTTAAGGACTAGGATGTAACATAGAGGGGTTAATGGAATTACTGCCACAGAATCTCAATGCAATTCTTGTGGGCTCGATCAAATCGAATATACAAATCATCACCTCCTATCCTCCTGTCATCAATGATCATGCTTGGAAGGTGCGGACAGCTTGCTTTTGAGTGGTGGGGCATCAAAACAGCAGCAATTTTGGAAGGATTGGGGAAATAATTAAGCTTACATCTTTTTATTGGCTATAAGGGCTGTTCTAATTAAAAGAGGGCTGTTCTAATTAAAAGAAATATTTGAACGGGTCGTTTCGATTCAGTGACATTAGACTTTAAATTAAAATTATTCACCTTCGTGGATGGTACTTTTTCGGTTTGTACCATAATCAACACTAGCTTGAGTTCCTTCTAGCTCTTTTTTTTTTCTCACTGGGGAGGTGATGACTCCCTAGTCGTCTAGACTTATTATTAGGATGCAGATGCAAATGATAATTCTCAATAATCTCAATTTGTAGTAATTAAAACAAATATTAGTAATGCACCTCGAATTTATGCGAATTTTAAAGGTGCTATTCTACCCCTGGAGTTGAAATCCTGTTAATATGTTTGGTGTTTCCATTAACCTAACAAATTGTTGTGGTTATCAATAATTTAACTAATTTGATAATAAATTTTTAATGAAGATAAAAAAATTTTAAATTTAAATTATATGATATAT